AAAAAACCCCCTTGTGTAAAATTATCATTTGATCCACGTGACAAAAAATCCGGTGATTTATGGTAGGGTAGTGTATTTGTCTACTCGAAGTCCTCCCTCACTCGAACAACCTCCCTCGACTTCCTTGATTCCACTGGACACGCCATCTGCAGCTCAAAAACATGGGCAACGTATGTGAGTCTCTTCATAATACATTCAGTCTGAAAGTATTCGACAAAATAAATTCATATGATGAACGGCCAAGAAACTATACAGGGCCAAAAAGCTCAACATAAGCGTGAACGCAATGCGAAAAATACCGACAAGAATAAGGCTACTAGCCAGTTAAAGATGGTGAGTTTCGTTGATGGCTGAGTGGGTATGATAAAAGGATTGAGGTCTTTAACACTTTGTCAACTTTTTTTTTTCCATACGCACACTTTTATAAGAATCAAGCTGCAAGAACAGTAATTTGTACAGTGTGTCGCAATACTTTCTTGTGCACAGTAAGAGCCAAAGCGTAAGTTGTTTACCAAGTGCTGTCGTTCGCCCAAAACTTTACATGCGGTCATTATTACTGATTCTACATTGGATACTTTATTTAGTCTAACAGAACATGCTCAGAATAAGCACAGTAAAGAGCTTCTAGACTGTTTTCCCGGATTCGTCGAAATAAATGGGGGAAAATAGATTCAATATAGTTATAGAAACGGGCTCATCGAAGTCCATAATTGCGGCCTTCCCACTATTTACAAGTAACCGTTGTCGTATTGACTTGATTCGATCGGCCTCGCGTGTTATCTTTCTCATTTATGGCACAATTATATTGTGAATAAAGATTCACGCATCAAATAGAGAACTGCTCACTCAAAATAAGTTAGCTATTTGTGCTTACGGCTGTGACTACTAATATGAGTGAAGTCGGCTCTGATTTTCGCCTGTCAATTTGATAAATTACAAAACTTTGGCATACACAAATATGTACCAACGCAATGGCCGCATTGCCAAGTATATGGTCTGTTTTGGGGTTTTTTTTACAATTGCATTTCATAGCTTTTATTTATCGTTAACGCATCTCATTAGCGGTTAAATAGTATTTTGTGGGAATGTGACAAGAATTTTGTAATATCGGAAGAACAAACTATTGGACTGTCTGTACTACGTCCTTCTTTTGAGGGATGTGAACTTCAAGATACTTGATCTCTCCTTCCAAGTCCTATTGGGAAATAAGGAGTCTTGTTAGGCTTGGACTGGTAAACTTGGAACAATAAAGGCTGAAAAAGCGGTTTATCTCGATACTTGCCTTACAATACTCATCCAAGGGAAGATCGTTCTTATCATAGCCGAACGGATTCTCAATTTCGGCACCTATGATAAAGAGATGGATTGTCGTTAAAAAAATTACTGCTTACTGGGCAAACTGTAATATCGAAAGACATTAATTCTTACCGATGGCTTCCACACCAAACAGCACAAAGGAAATCAAAAAGATGGCTGGTATAGTGAGCCATCCGAGTTCAGGGACCAATGTGAAAGGAAGAGTCCAAACGTACAGGGTCACAGCTTGTTTCCTATTCAGTAAAATCAAAAAGGTGTCAAATTCTTACTTAATACATCATTATGCTACCATCGAGCGTGTTGATGAGTTCAATTCTTATTCAACTTACAAATGAATGTTATAAGCATGAGGAATAGGTGTATTTCCAATACGCTCCAAATTACCAAGAATTTCGATCAAAACATTCATGGTTCCCGAAATAAATCCGAATCTAGAACCATCCAACTTATTCTCACGGAACTTAACATCAAAGGCCAATCCCAAATTGTAAACGATTTCCAATGGCAAGCTCATGCTGGGCTGGACATCGTCACCCCAGTCTTCAACAATTAAATTCACTTGACTGCCATGGTCGCTATGATATCCATACGTAGGTGGTAATCGACCTGCAACATTCCTTAGAGGAGCTCGAACGTATGTGGGACTCCGTTTAGGAATAGTTGGTTGATTATTAGAATTTTCCGGATTATCACCACCAGTTTCCGTTTGATCAGCATTGCCCTCGAATCGAGTGAATTGGAAGCCAGGGGGGAGAATGTCTTCGAGATCTTCCCAGTGCGTACCAAATTCGAGACGCAAATGATGTTTGACAGCTACGGCATAGGCAAGTAGAAGTTTGATGATTTGTATTTTTTCAGCATGATCCTCTTTGGAGGTTTCCTCAACGCCGATCCATACTGCACGAGCACAATTACGGATTTGCGTACTGCAGCAAAGAAAAAAAAACAACTTTCATGTTACTAACAGCTTAAACAATTAATGTGAACTGGAGCGCTTATTCAACAACGAAAATTGGTTGCAACTCGTGTTGAAGTCGAGAACAAAAAAAACAAAACAACAACTTACCACATACTGGAGAACAGTTTTCGACCTTCATAATAACGATCATAAGCATTGTTGGTACGGAAAGCCAAGAGCAGACCAACCACCACAGCAACGGAACCAACTACAATGATAGAGGAGATTTGTCTAGTAGATGAAATATACCGAATACTATTGAACGTAGATTATTACACTTATGTGCGTATGTAATAAGACGTACTTAAACTGCCCGGTAAACTAACATTATAGCCATATACGAGGTATAAAGTACATATTCCAGTGGTAAACAGCGTCGAAAAGGTCACGACTGGGATAACAGACCAGAGCACCTAGAAACCCCCGGATTTAATTATTAGCATTAGAAGCTAGTACGGGAAGACCAATATATATACACTCTTGGATACTCACAGAACCCCTAAGTTGCAAAACATCGGGATAACCCCATCCTCGATAAGCTTTCAACTCACTAACGAAGCCTTGCCTCTTTCGAGGGTTTTGCATTCTAGGGTTAATCGGCATCTTGGCTTATTTTTCACGTTGCTCGTAAAGAAAAATCGTCACAACACGGTGAGCTTGGAAATAGATTTCCGCGGGCATCAATGCTTTTTATGCTATCCTGTTAGGGAGCGTATCTATGTATACGAAGAATAAGCTTCTGGGTTGCTAGTGTAACTTTGTTGAGTAGGGTGCATTTGGGCGTCAAGGCGTTATATCTTTTCAAGATGAGAAGTCGGGGCAGAACACAGCCTCGATAAAGGACCTGTTGATTGGTTATATAGCCGGGTACAAGGTATGTCGCGTGTGGTAGCGTTTTGAGTGGTGAGTAAACTTTGATGCTGTGTAGCGTAAATGATGAGTTGATAAGCCAGTCATGTGAAAAAATAATAAGGCGAAACCATTAAAATGTGGTTAATATTAATTAACAATGGGGGAACAGTGAAAACGCCACACATAAATTTCAGGGGATCGAATAATAATAATAATAATAACAAGTTGATCGATCTATCATCATCTTGTATCGCCCAAAGACACCCGGACCCTGGAAACAATAGTAGTCCTCCCTTCAAGCTACGCCGCAACGAAGTCACGTTTTCCCTAATTTCTGCTAGTACTACGACTGTCGCCAAATTTATCCTATATATTATCCGGATGATTACGCAAAGTTCTCACCCGGCTAAAAGAAGACATGAACTAATGATTCGACAAACTAATATTTTATTTTTTCATGTAAATTTTGTTAACAGACTATTAAAAAAACAAATTTTTTCTGCATTGCTTGTTTACATCTAACATCCAATCACGTCTTCGTACCAAGAGCGGTCATTTTATGCGAACCAAGCTTAATACTTGATTTATACTTGATTTTGAATTTAGTAAATGGCTTTTTGTTTTGCATTCACCCTGTTATGTAATAATGTCCTTTGATCCATAATGAGGTAATTGCTCATTTAGCAGAATGAGATGTGAGTATTGGCGATTTTTTTAAATGTCTATTAACTTGTAGTTTGCGTAATTCCGTAACTACGGAGCGTATCATTCATCGATCAGTTTATTCTTTAATATGTTTCGGCCTTGAAATGTAAAGTTGATTATTTTTCTGTGCTGGTTCGGGGAGTGGCTAAGCCAGGTACGTCACACGATAGTACGATTACGCGATAGAACACATCCTTCTAAATACTTGGCTGGCAATAAATCAACTGACAGTACAATCTATTGTACTGTATATAGCTATAGAAGTCGTTCCCAACACGTAATTTATTTTTTCTTTCCTGATACTCTGTTTGCTAATATTGCGTATTAGATATCTCTTGCTTCTACTGAGAAAATGCAACGGACTAATTTGAGAGAAAGAGGGAACGAGTTCCATTTTTTAAAATCTACAATAATCATTAGAGACTAGTAAGAATCCATTTGAAAGCTCAGCTTATTTCATTAATACAAGAGCAGACTATTTGGTCCGTACTTTCGGAAAATATTCCTGTCAGTTTTTGGTGTATCTCTCTTTCATTAATCAAGACACCATATCGATAGCAATTATGTGGCGTTCAGTATGTATGTTGAACCCTGAAATCTTTCTGTGATACTTGATACGTCGAAAATTTTACAAAGAACAAAAGATGTGATTGTCACAAGTGATTGGTTTCAGTATATTATTGATTGTTGCACTAATCAAATCAAGGTATATTAATATCTAACCCTATTTGGAGCTAGTAGATCAAGATATGGGACGGGCAATAAACTTCCCTGCTAAGCTTGGACCGAATCGGAACAATATGGACGAACAATGAAGCTTGCAGAGTTCCCGCACATAAAATTTATATATAGCAAGCGTTTGGGATAGCTTCAGTTTCTTGTAAAAAGACTGTATTTCGGGTCAGGTACGACTTCGCCTGCAGATTGCACAATCAAACCCCCTATGCCAAACCCCTATCTATGCACAGTCTCTTATATGCGATCTAATAATCCAATTCGACCTCCCTAATTATACCAGAAAGCATTTCTTGTCAAAAAGCCATGTTAAAAGCAAGGAATTTGAGACACGGATGACCAGCTTATTTATTGTCACGTGTTTACACAATAATAAAGCATCGTACAATCTAATTGTTTGTTTTAAAGAATTAATTATAATTAATAATGTTAGTATTAGTATTAAACAGCTGTATTTCAACGTTAGTCGCTCATCTCGTGACATTGTTTTCCTTAAAATTGGATCCCGTGACCAAATATCGCGTACCAACTTTTTACGCCTTGGTTATTGCTTGTAGTATAAAAGTTCCTCGCGATAGCATTGCTTGTAGTAATACTGTCAACATCATGGAAATGGCAAATATAACCAGCCTGCTACAGAGGTCATAATAGTAATCTACAGCTACGGAAAACAGTGTCCGATAGAATAAAGCGTTAACAAGAAGATGATGAAGCAAAGGAAGAAGCAGCAATTGTGGAAGAAGCCATAGAGGAAGAACTAATAGAATGGTCTGTGAAAACATATTACTAGCTCTCCAAGCTAGTACTACCCTTCGGCCACTCGGGCACACTTTCAGTTTCTTTATTTATAGTAAAGTTTGATGTAAATAAATATATGTATATATATTTTTTTATAAAAAAATATACTATGCAAAGCAGGCTAACATACAAAAGCGGAAATACAAAAAAAAAAGGAGCATTTTCGTCCATCGCTCTCTCTTCGCAAAGACCTCGGTCGCGGTATAAAACCATATACGCACGAATAAAACAGCCGTCATTTCTTTACATCTTTTTCTTGGCCATCATTACGAGTAACAGACTAGTCCAATTATTAACGGCCAAGGAGAACAGTTGTTTGCGTTTATTATGGTAGACTTTGATACAGTTGCCTACAAGTGAATTGTTCAAAATGTAATTATTAATATCATCCATAGTCAGCGTTTCTTGCCCGATCGTTCTGTAGGTAGGTTTACCCACGATGTTATTTAATAATTGTAATCAATCGGGGATACTGTAAGTTTGAGCTTGAAAAAGTCAAACGTGTATTGCGTGTTATTCGTGGTGTGTTGGCGTATGCAAATAGTCCGTCATATAGACCGGATCGCGATTATCTTACCCCTTTGCAAGAGTCGGTCTTGGATATTTGTGTCAAGATGGATATGACAGTACCCGGAACTCCTGCCGAAATGTTACATATATATAGGTGACATGAGTATTTGGAAAAAGGTTGAAAAGTGAAGGATTCTGTTCAAGATAATCAGGATAGTCTCAGCGGATAGTAATATAGAAAGATTTCAGCATGAACCAGTTTGAGAGGAGTTCCCATCTCTTCTCCACTCAAGATTGTATACGAAGAGCTGGTGATTGTCGAAGCAATGGTACCATAGGGCACTTTTACTTTCACTTTTCGAAAGGGCAACAGAGTTCTTGAAAATCTCTGTAGGCTGTGTATACTATGTAAGTAGCAACGATTTGAATATCGTTATGAAACTGGTTTCTTGTGCTTTTCGAAAAGAATAATGATAAATTAAAATGTATTGCCATTATATTACTGTAATTTGATAAAGTGCTAGTGTATAAGAAAACATAATTTATATGTGCAAGCTATCTACTCCACTTCATCGAACTGGGTGTAGAACAATCCATTATTAATTCTTTCAAGGGTTTCTTCGATTGTTTCGTAGCCATCGCCGGACTACTATATGAACGTTAAAATTCTAATAATTTCTTATAATATTAAGTTCAAGACACCATACACATTACTTGACTGGAATTACGCGAGAGGAGATTAGCATCAACATGTAGTATGCCAACACCAGTACGACAATCTTTTCGTTTTATGCCAGACTTGTGAAGTGTTCTATAATACTAACGAGCATAGTAATAGAAGGAAGAAACAAGCTCAGTGCAATATCATTGAAACATCAACGTATAGATATTTCTCTCGGAAAGCATTGTAAACTTACAGTAGTTAGTAGTGGCGGAAAATAATAAATATTTTAAAATTTTATTTCTCAGTTGAGGTGCATTTATTTTGAACAAGAACATGAAGTTATAAAAATAAAAATTTAGTGATCAATTATTAACTCTTCTCTTTCAATAACGGCCTCTATTACCTTTCTATGCTAGAACGTAAATTCGTTTGAATAATCATAAAAAGTCACTAATTAATTAATTTTTTTTTTGTAGAATACATTGATTTACCCTTTTCCCCATCTTTGTCTTCATTATTGCCCATAGAGTTCAGGTGAGGTAACTAAAAAAATTAATAAAAAATTTGTTGGACTTTTTCTTTGAGCAGCTTTTTTACCAACTTGGTTGTGTGCTTTGGATCTTCATCTTGTTGGAAATTTATAATTTTTCTATCAGGGTTGTATTGATGCATTTGAGAAAATATATACTGTAAACAAAACCAGACAAAGTGAACATTTGATTATGTGAATCAAAAATGGTCAGTTATGATGGGACTAATTATGATCATCCCCTTCATCTACATCAACTATCTTTTTGAGTGTCACACACAATTCATTGGTTGTTGGTTCTAACCCTTTTACCACAATAATAATAATAAGTGTGCATCCATAGCATAATAATGTTATATGGGGCAGACTGCAACAAAACCAGACAAAGTGAACATTTAATTTTATCACATGAACCAAAAATGGCTTTGGCCCTATTACTATGGACTAATGCATTTTTAAATCTAATTATAAAATTTTTAATATGGGGCATGCTGCAACAAAACCAGACAAGTGACTTGGGACGTCAAATAGACTCGTTTTTTATCCTTTCTCTGTTCCATGGCCTTTCTGCTATTCAATATCCTCCATAAGTGTTGGAAAGTTGAAAGTAATGTAACAAGTAGCTGTCCGATATTTTTTAGAAACCAATTATTTTGTGATTTTTCTATTCTGGTGTTACGGCAAGCTGATCTGAAGAATCAGATAAGTGAGTAACCCATGATCAACACTAATTTTAGTCCAGTTTCACAAATATTTAGAGTACAATCGAACCGAAGTGTCGGCCATGATTCGGTATAACGAGACATTCGG